ACCGTCCGTGGCCGAAGCAGCGCTCGGATGTGAGAAAACCGAGACAAGACTTTCTCAGACAGGTGCTGTTTCCAACTAAGTTTAGCTCTTTTAGCAGCTGTTTATTGTGATAAAGTGATACATTGTTCCTACAGGTCGTTGTTCATGTGGCTTCGACTCAAATTCACCTGTAATTATAAACGTTTTACTCATAAATTTTTATATTTGTTTAGAAAAGTTGAGCTAGGATAACTCCCCTTGCCGTTTTCAGAGACAACAACAGCAACAGTTGGCTTCTGCTCATACAGGTGAGCTGTGGCATCATTTCCAGCTCTCGCTCCTATTCACCAGAGGCGATCCTACATGCAAACTAAAGGAGGGCATTGGAGGGGCACCCCAGAAATTTAACCCCCTCCCCAGGCCAGATTGTGTGTGTGTATGTATGTATGTATATATATATTCTTTTTCTTTAGCAGGCCATATTGTGCAGAAGAGAAGATCTAGTTTGTCACCACACAATGTGAACAAGCTGGTATGCTTGAGTGACTGGCGGAAGAAGGAGAAATAGAGCTTGGACTGATTGACCAAATGCTACTGACTTTTAACAGTTAATCATGACCTATTCTGTAGACCTACAGTGCAGAATTTGTTGAACTGAATAAACAGCTATTAAACACAAATACTTATTGATCATCATTTGTTTTCATCAACAGTTATGGTAGTAAAACTGCTTTATCAGTCTGTGATGCATTATTGAAACAAGAAATATGCCTCCATTCTCAAAGACTTGCTTTTATTCATTATCTAGGTAGCACACACATATGCCTTTGGCAGAATTTGAATGAGCCATTTTAATCTAGATTAATTCCAAGATTACAGTGAGGTTAATCTAGATTAAAAAAATTAATCAATGCCCACCACTAATTGTGTATATATATATATATATATATATATATATATATATATATATATATATATATATAAGAATCAGAAAAGCTTTAATGGCAGTGCTCCAGCGTCCCAAAGCATAGGAACTTGACTCCGCAGCACAGCCTGACCAAGGTTATACACACACACACACACACACACACACACACACACACACACACACACACACACACGTAGACAAAACAGATACAGGCAGACCACGAGAGCAGCCATGAGGCGCTCATGTCATTTAGATGAAAAGGGAATTACATGAGGATAAATTGGGGGAGGGAAAAAAAGGCATTCCAGAGTTACTCCCGACAGGGCATAGCTTTGCAATGCAAAAAAAAATAAAAATAAAACCTCAACATATAAGCCCAAACATCAACAGTTCAAAACATGAGACTCCAATAGGAAGGGGGGTGGGGGGGGGGAGGGGGGAAGTTGGGATCCTGTTTCCCCAGAGAGAGAGGGGGGTAGGTCGGGTTTTCACAGCATCTGTCTGCATTCCTTCGCAGGGGGTGTCACGATTGCAGATGGTAGGACCCAAAATGCAGAACCCAGGATGACAAGAGGCAGAAGGGGGTTCAAAGTAAAAATCCTTTTATTTTAGGATAAAGAACAAAAGTAATCCGAGGCAGCGAGCCAAAGTCCATAACGTCCTGGGGAACAGGAACACCCAAAGCTCTTCTTAGAGCACAAAAAACCTGGAGACAAAAGTTCATACAGAGCACGAGCAACGCTGACAACATACAACAATGAACTGACACCAGACACAGACAAGACAGAGCTTATATACACAGGGAGAAGTGATTAGGGAAAATGGCAGCAGGTGTGTGAAGTGAGAGCTGGAGGGAAGACAGGTGAACCTAATAATCAAAATGGGCAAACGGAAACAGAGGAGGGCCAAATAAACCTAAGAAACTCTAAGACACCAAAACTAAACCTAAAGGCTGCGGGAAGGACTAACACACACACCATCACACACACAAATGCACTAATACAGGAATGGGGAATGGACAAGCACACACACACACACACAGAACTACACACACACACACACACACACACAAACACTGAGCAGGGGACTGAATCTCACACACACGTCGAGCTGGGGACAAAGAAGCTGGGGACTACAAGGACACAGGATGTAAACGAGACCTGGAGGACCTGGGGATGAATGAGATGACACAAGACCTGGGAGGAATAGACTTAAAGGACTACCAACATAAGACACATAATGGACACAGACAAAGGACACATGAGGGCGCTATGAGACACAAAAGGGGAATCTAAAGAGGGATGGAGGACACAAGGAGACACATGGGAAAGACACAGACCATGACAGGGGGTTTGTTGTTGGCATCTCAAGGCTGCCATGGCGTCAGATTCGGATAACAAGACTTTATTTGGGTCAGGCTGAGATAATTTCCCTCTCTGCCTTCAGTCTGTAACTGATCATTCAAGTCCTCCAGTGAAGCCAATTTAGGTTTTAAACATCTACACACCGTCTGGTGACCCTCTCCGTGATGACATCCATTTTGCTCACTAATACCGGTATCGCAGCTAGAACATTGTCCAGCTTGCGATTCACATCAAGTAGCATCCCAGTCTGTGAGGTCTCCACAAGGACGGTGCTCTCCGTGGGTGCGAGTCGCCCTCCAATCGCTCCCGTCTTCCCAAATTTCCAGAAAACCAGACATCCTTCCACTCCAATAAGAAGAAATCCAGTGATCATCAGGCCAAACATCCACACGTCTACGACGTCCTCAATGGACGGCTGGGAGAGGCATACGATCTTCCACTATTTCCAGGAATCCATCATATATCCTGCCGGGTGTGTCCTTTTCGGGCAAGTGGGAGCCCCCTGCTCCATTCTCTTTGTTTAAAAAATCTTATCAATTGCGTTGAATGACCAATTTATCAAATTCATTCCTAAAAAATAGGGTTTTTCAGAAGAAGTGCAGAGAAGCGCTCTGTGGGTAGACAGGACAAAGAGCCTTGGGAAAAAAGATAAGGGAGCAAAAAGAGAAGTGTCTGTTCTCTGTGACTGCCGGAAAAGAAGTGAATATATATATTCAAAGAAAGAAAAGAAAAGATTATATATATATATATATATATATATGTATATATATATATATATATATATATATATATATATATATATATATATATATATACATCCATACACAGTGTGTATATATATATATATATATATATATAGAGAGAGAGAGAGAGAGAGAGAGAGAGAGAGAGAGAGAGAGAGAGAGAGAGAGAGAGAGAGAGAGAGAGAGAGAGAGAGAGAGAGAGAGAGAGAGAGATAATGTCACGTAGCATTCATGGACTCGTCTATCTTGACTCACGACAGGGAAGGCTGTTGTTGGTTTAGGGTCCAGGAAACAGCAGACAATGTGGCCAAAGATCTAAGCTAACCGTTAGCATTAGCTACTTTAGGCCAATCCTCAACTCTGATGTGGCTAATTTCTACTTCCTGAAACTGTTCCAGAGTTCTGTTTCCCCAGAGTACGACTTACAAGGCCTTGATTTCTTCCAGAGACCACTGCAAATGTATTGATTAAACAAGGGATCCCCATCTTTAAAGAGCTCATAATAAAATTAGATGGTTGAATTGTTTCAGAGTTCTTGAGCTGCTAATGACCTCTGACAAATAACTAGATGCTTTCAAGTGCTTAATTAGCAATTGTTCAAAAATATATCTATTTATGTCAAGCTTTTAAACACCATCGTTGTTATTGATTTATCTGAAGATCTGAATAAAGATGTATTGAGGGAGAGAATGCATTCATCTAGAAAACATTTAGTAATTATTTAAAGATGCAAGCCTTAATAAACTTTAGTTATTTTTATTGCACAAATTAATTAATGCACGAGAGAGCTTCAATGCAGAAACCACACAAAGACATTCTTTCTGTTTTACAATTAGTTCAAACATTATAAATTAAAAAACATAACTATTTATTTACAGATTCAAAGTGTTTGTGTTGATATATTTTGAAAATAAATATAACAATAAATATATAAATAGTCTAAAACATTGTGGAGTTCATGCAGTTTAAGATGACTTTTGAATTAGTTATCTATCTATGCATCCACTAGGACATAAAAGTTACATCCATATAAACACACATCTTTAGTTTTCTTTTTCCCTCTTTTGCTGTTTGTCAGTATGAAAAGCAAAGCACAGCTTGGGTTAGACAAGTTGACTTGAACGTGATCAGCCAGGTAGACAGTCTTCGCTAAGAGACACTCAAATCATGGAGTTCTTCAGTCTGTCAAAGATCTGCTGGACTTTGATAGCAGGAACACAGCCTTCTCTCACAATGGTGATGACTCCTGAACGAAGGTTAGAAGAGCTTCAGTTAGAAACTTGACCTTAAACAGCCCCAGTAGGAAGAAATCATGGCCCCTTACCTTCATCAATCCTCAGGCAGTTGACCACAGTTGAAGCAACTACTTCATTCGAGTCACCATCACAAAGTACTCCTTGGATCTTGTGTCCCAGTCGACTGCAGCAAAAGAAGCAGTTTGAAACAGTAATTAGTGTATGGTGCTAAAAGTTTTAGAGATGTGTTGTTTGTTAGTTTGCATTAAACTTCATTGAGGAGACTCTTACTTAATGACCATGCTGTGGTGGGTGCTGTCTGATTCTCCACTGGGATTGGCTGATGTTATGGCCAGGGGTCCAGTGATGTCACATAGGTGGCAGGTCACGGTGTGGTCTGGGACACGGATCATGATGCTGTCTCTGGTACCAACACGGTCATAAGCAGGTCCAACTCCTACAGAAATGAGGTTAAAGTTCACGTAAAAACTGAAAACTGATACAGAATTCTGCCACTCAACATTCAAACACTCTACACTGCTGACCTAGTCTGTAAAGCCAGTCTCCTTTGCTGACAATGCAGCTGATGCCTCCAGGATACACATTCCTCATGAACTCCCACAGCAGAGGGCTAAAAGGAGGCCTGGCTGCAACCAGCTGTTCCACACTGGAGATGCAAATGCATATAGGCTTCTCTGCAGGTCTGTCCTGCAAAAGGTCCAATTCAACAAGATGGTGACATCATGAAAATGTATATTGCTGTTAAAAAAGCCTCCTCTATCTTCTTACTTTAATGTTGTAGATTTTTTCTATCGCCTGAGGATTCTTGCAGGAAGCAGCCAGAGCGTACACAGTATCTGTGGGAATACCACACACACCCCCGTCCTCGAGAAGTCCAGCTATCTTCAACAGACCGCTGGTGAGACGCGAGCTAGCCATGGGACAGGACGGCTTGTCACAAGCTTCCTGTTTCACTTTTTCCTAAAACACACACACACATTTTTATTAATTATTCATGCTGATTCTTAAAGGTAGGCCAATCTAAACTTCAGTCATTACCTTTATTATGGGAGGACCCATTGGGATCACTCTTTGTGAGAAGATGCAGTTCATCAGTGAAGCCAAGGTGCCATAAAAGCAAATGATGGATACCAATGCAAGCATGGCAACTGCAATACATCATTTCTGGATGTTAAACTTTATTTGTTCTGATGAGAGTCAGTATCGTAAATACATAAAGTTTATAACAGGCGGTTTTAACTCACTTTCAAGTTGGTATGGAAGTCTGTGCAGGGTGGAGAGAAGGAAGCAGACAAGAACAACCTCCATGATTGTTGTTAGAAACAACAGAACCACGTTCCTATAAGCAGCTAATAGAAGAAACAAAAGGACAAAATTATGAATGAATAAAAACTGTGAATTCCAGCGCTGAAAGCAGATACTAGACCTTACCAATCAGCATGAGGAAGGCATTAATGACCAGTAAAGCAACGCCTCCAGCTGTGAATCCATAGGCTGCCAGGACGGGGAGCTGAAGCTGAAAACCTGTAGAACAATAACTCCTGATGAGAATATGGTTCAAATCAGACAGAAAAATGTATTTTGCTCATACGTTATGCTGACATACCTGCAAATCGAAACCACGTCCAAGTTGCCCATACAACCACGTAGATGGATGAGATGACTGATCCAAACCGGCCCTCTCCGGTGACTTGTAGCCTGCTGACATAGGTCTGAATGATGCCTCCAGAGATGAGGACCCAGGGGACAGTCAGATGAAGGAATGAAGCGTTCCCACTTGACACTTCTGAATGAAGAGCTGAAAGTGCTGCAACCCCGTTGGTGAGATAAAACAGAGCATCTGAGGCCTGATCACTGTTGGGCAGCTCTTTTTGTTCTCCCTGTTGAGATCTTCTACACATCAGAGCTCTCTTCAGCTGCTCGGAGGAGACCGGCTGTGGTCCCACAGGGATTAGAGACTTCTCTGCGATGGTGTTTATGAGGCGTGAGAAGGTACCGTAGACTGAGACTGCAGTGAAGAGAGAGCAGGCTACACCAAAGAAGATGTAGTAACCCTGCAGGGGGATCTGGGGGATTGTTGAGACTGTGAGCAGAACAAAGAGCAAGTTGTGGATCAGCTCCAGAGTGTCCATGTTCAGGCTTCCCACACAGAGCACCAAGCCGGCCACCACAAAGAACCAGTCTCCCACCATGGCTTCCCTACCAGCAACAACTTGACCGTGCTCCACAATCAGGGCAGATGCCACAAACTCATCCCAAGCCTTGATCAGCCAATACATGGCATGAATCCCAAATTTTGTAGTGTGGTAGCTATCCTGGCGCAAATGAGCGTAGTAGCTGGAGAACAGCTGGGCAACTGAGATGATTGATACCCATGCAACTCCTAAACCAAACGATTTCATGTACCCAAAGCTGTAGAAGGCAACGATGAAGGGAGCAATAGAGTCACAGAAGAAACCCAAGGCCATGGGCTCTGCATATTTTGTGTTCTTCTTCTTCTCTTGACCAGGTTTCTGAGCACCTGTTGAGTTGGTGGTTCCTAGCAGGAGAACATTAAAGAGGGGGGTCCCAAAGCCTTTAAGAACTAGACGTTGAGTCAGCCCTTTTGATGAGTAGAGCAGCTGAACCATAGATGGCAAAGATCAAAATGAGCAGCTCCAGAACCCCAGAGACCACCAGAGCCCAAGGGCCTGTCACCAGAGCTGCTGCTTCAAAGATCAAAGTGGCCGTGATGGCTCCAAAAACAAAAGGCATGATGTAGTTGACCGTGGCAGAGCAAAATGCCAGGATAAAGGACAGAAGGATATAAGGGATCAGACCAGCAATGGCTGACTCTTCTATGGACACACATAAGTGGCACTGTGTTGAGTTTTGAAGAGAAGTGTTGACCATCATGTTGGTGGTTGAACCATTGAACATGTGCTCTGACACTGATGGTATAGTCTGATTGTTAAATAAAGCACCATAGTAGATTCTGGTCGCCCCATAGCTACCCCAAAGGGCAGCGTAGCCGATGAAGGCAGTGCCACTCAGGTGATCGTACTTTCTAAAGGAGAGCAGTCCAGCCACCAGCTGGCACAAACCACCAATCAGGATGAGATGAACACCTGGAAGAAGTGTTAGAAATTGCTGTAAGCCACCTTCACAGGTTTATACACGAATAGATATTTGTGTTTATGTCAAGAGTTTTACCTGCAAGTATGTTCTCCACTCCAACTGGTTTAATGCCGGTGTGAGCTGTGCTGAAGTTCTGTAGAAGTACAAGGAATGCGCTGATCCCATTGGATAACATTCCTAACACTCCTGGTTCTCCATAGAAACTGGCAGGAAAACCGTCTGAGGCTGCCATGGTGTTTCTGTAGACAATCCAGTCAGTACAGGTAACATATGATAAAAGTCTAAAATGGTAATCCTCAACAACAACATTTATATATGAATTTTAATATGACTGTATAATATAATATAATATAATATAATATAATATAAAACGGTCCTTGCCTGTCATAAGTAGGCTGAGCCACTCTTGTCATGTAACTAATGTAAAAGTCATTTATTACGACACTCCTCTAACAGGCTCTCTGAAGAGGAAGAATTTATTCTAAATGAAAACAATTTTATCAATAGAATAATACCCCTAGCATTACTGTTATTTTCATATTGTTGAAAAACTACAGGATATTGCAATAATAGTTTTAATATTTATAAATAAACTCTTGTCAGGGAGCATCCTTTATGCAGATTTAGGTCTGATTCAATCTACAAAGCAGAGTATATAATAATCTAGCTACAGGTTTATGGATCTTTGATGGGTGACATGCAGAAACAAAATATTTACTCCTGTTAGCAATTAAATAAAGAGCAAAGTTTTACCTGTTGAAGTTGTTCAGACTGATGGAAAGCTGAGTTGTGCTGAAGGAGGGACGAAGGTTTGCCTTAAATATGATCTGTTTGTGTAAAGGAGGAGTTACTGAGAATTCCCCACTCTGTCACACAGCAGCATACTTACAGGTGACATCACTGCCTTTCACTTTACACAAAAGTGGCTTTTCCTCCTTCTTTCTCCTTCCTCCCCCTCAAGGCTATTGATGATGGTGAACGTTACACCACAGATAATGACCCGGGTGGAAAAGCCTCATTCTGATGTGATGCAGGATTGCAAAAGGAACCTGCCCTTCCTGCTCCTTTGGTGTTTCCGGTCATTGTAAGTCCTGGACTATATAAGGCAGGTGGATTTTCAGCCACAAAAGCATCAGCATCCTTCACTGCTCAGCTGCTGCATCCAAGAGAAACAACAAGATCATTGTGACAGAAACTTGAAGTCATGTTCTCCACGCTACAGGTAAGATTACAGACATATTTATGCTTTTAGTCAGTTTTCAGACTCTAAAAGTGATGGTTTTAAGTCCTTTTCAAATAAAGAAGTCATAAAAATATCTAAAAGTAGAGGTTTGTAGTTCGGCCAAGGCAGGGAACTATAAAATAACTCCTGCTAATTGTTGAGGAGAACACTCATGCTGGGAAACACCTGTTACACCTCTACACTAGCTCTTTCAAACACAAACATTAGATTAAAGATGTGAACAAGTAAATGCAGGAACTCATCAGCCTGTAGTCATCCTGAGATGTGAAAAATAACTGAAATGCTTTGTTCTGATTTATTTTTTGTCCCGAAGAAACCATCAGACCAGTGCGGGCTGCCAGAAGACTGCATAACACTGCAGTGGAGGGTAAACAGATATGCTGACTTTTATTAAAAATAATAATATTAACCTTAATTAATAACCTTTATTAAACAACTTTTATCTTTTCATTCCTGCAGTCCAGAAGCACCCAGCCCCAGAAGATACGGTCACAGCCAGTTTTGGGAAGTTCATCAGTGAAATAAAGCCTCAGCATTTGTCTCCGGTTGTGCTCCATCGCAGCAAAAGGATGGTGCTGGACAGCATCGGGGTCGGACTGATAGGGAGCAGGACAGATGTGTTTGAGCTGGCTCTTCAGTTCTGCCAGGTGAGGCAAAGTGAAAGTCTGAGTCAGGTCCAACCCAAATATGTCCAGAACAGATGAGTGAATGTAGGGTTGTTTCTGTGTTTGTTCTTAGCACATGTATGCTCCGGATCACATCAGCTCTGTGTACGGACGCAGAGGGATCAGACTCTCCCCAACACTGGCAGCTTTCGTTAATGGAGTAGCGGTGAGAAACATAAGTGGAAAACAACCATATATAAATAACCACATAAACATCAGTGGAAACATTTTGTATAAACAGCTTTTCTCAGCTGTTGGTGCAGCGTGGCTCCCAAAGACCACAGGGTTAGGATATAGACATAAAATCAGCTGAGCTGGCCTTAAAGTTTCCCATCAAATATTTCCAAAGAAGCTACTTTCTTCCCCCTCGGTGGCTGGATTTAGGAATGAAAGTCATTTTTCTTTTGAGAACACACCAGGAATAGAAAACATGTCAGTGTTCACTTCAGAAAAAAAAACATAAAGAAGTGGATCATTCAGACACGGCACAGGCAAGGTGTTCATAGCTGGGTTCTGATCTAGTTATGACCCTCACAGAAAAAGTCATTATTCTGACTCCTTTCAGCTTCAGTAAGATGAGACACAAACTGGTTGCTTCCAGACTCATTCCATGGACTTTGACGACACGTGGCATCCAGCCACTCATCCCTCAGGAGCTGTTCTCCCAGCTTTGTTTGCTCTCAGTGACATGATGCCGGCTAACAGCAAACCAAGCGGTCTGGACTTCTTACTGGCCTTCAATGTCGGCATTGAGATCCAGGGCCGTCTGATGAGGTTCTCTAATGAAGCACGCAGCATTCCCAAGAGGTCAGTGCCTCACAGCACAAGTCAAGCTTGAACCAGAAAGTCTGGTTTTAGCACGATCTTCATGAACACGTTCGTTTAAAGACGTCCTTGTTTGACTGTGCTGATCTCAGCACTGAGGTGTAAGAGGCCGTTTTAGTGATGTCAGTGTAATGATGCTTACTGTAGGAACAGCAGGGTCTCTTGGTGTAACGTTAACAGAATTAGCACAAACCAAACCCTTCATCTGGTGGGTGTTTTAGAAACTCAGGTGACCTGAAACGAGTTAAATCAATTCATCTTGTTCTAAAGATTCAACCAATAGAAACGTTCTTAAGTGGTGATGCAGATCAGTGATTGTTTCAGTTACAACAGAATAAATGTCCTAAATGAACTGTGTGTGTGTGTGTGTGTGTGTGTGTGTGTGTGTGTGTGTGTGTGTGTGTGTGTGTGTGTGTGTGTGTGTGTGTGTGTGTGTGTGTGTGTGTGTGTGTGTGTGTGTGTGTGTGTGTGTGAACAGGTTCCATCCTCCCACTGTGGTGGGTCCTATGGGAAGTGCAGCAGCCTGTTCTCGTCTCCTGTCTCTGGATCCGTCTCAGTGCAGTCATGCCTTGGCTATAGCAGCTTCTCTAGCTGGAGCTCCGATGGCTAATGCTGCCACTCAGTCTAAGCCCCTTCACATCGGCAACGCCTCTCGTTTGGGGCTTGAAGCTGCTCTGCTGGCCTCCAGAGGCCTAGAGGCCAGTCCTCTGGTCTTGGATGCTGTTGCAGGAGTGGCGGGCTTCATCGCCTTTTATGAAGATTATGTTCCTCAGCCTTTAGAGTCACCTGATGATGGTGGACATGTGTTCCTGTTAGAGGAGCAGGACATGGCTTTTAAGCGTTTTCCTGCCCATCTGGGGATGCACTGGGTAGCTGATGCTGCAGCTGCGGTCCATGAGCTCCTTGTGGGACATGGTCTAGGACAGGTGTCCCCACATCAGGTCCAGGACATCCTGCTCAGAGTCCCCCAGTCTAAATACATCAACAGGCCTTTTCCAGAGTCAGAGCACGAGGCACGCCACTCCTTCCAGTTTAACGCCTGCAGCGCTCTGCTGGACGGTGAGGTGGCGGTGCAGTCCTTCAGCCCGCCCGCCATGAGCCGCCCAGAGCTGCAATTCCTGCTGAGCCGTGTTCGCATGGAGCATCCTGAGGACAACCCCGCCAATTTCAACCGCACGTACGGAGAAGTCCAGGTGACTCTAGTTGGAGGAGACATCCTGAAGGGCCGCTGTGACACCTTCTACGGCCACTGGCGCAACCCGCTGACAAACGAGAGCCTGAGCAAGAAGTTCAGAAGCAACGCAGAGGTGGTGCTGCCACCAGAGAAGGTGGAGCGCCTGGTGGAGGTGGTGGAGGAGCTGGACAGGCTGGATGATTGTGGAGCTCTTCTCTCACAGCTGCAGTGATTAATAACACTGAACAATAAAGCAACAATCCTTCAGCATAGAAATAAGAATCATATTATTTTTATATTAATGTTCTTAAATGATCTGCTTAATGTAGACTGGAAATATACACATTGTCATGTTTTTCCTCTGGAGTTTTCCTCAAGCTGATGTTTCCTCTATTGTTCAAGATTGTCTTTTGGTATTGAATTCTGTTTTTATCGTAACAAAATTCAGATAAAAACATGACTCGTGTGTGTGAGTCATATTAAATGTTTAATGCCTGTTTTTATATTAATATTGTTAATCTATGAAAATGTGTTTCCTGCAACCTTTCCTGAAAATGTGTACATAATAAAGTGTTTTAAACGTGTAAAACACATGATCATAAAGTCACCTGTGTGTGTGTGTGCGTGCGTGCGTGCGTGCGTGCGTGTGTGTGTGCGTGCGTGCGTGCGTGCGTGTGCTCTGTCTTCTTAATCCCCAGTGGTTCATGGCGGATGGCTCCAGGATCCTTTGCAGGTTTCTTCCTGTTACATAAAAAATTGGATAACTCTAAACTTTCTGCTTTTAAATCAAGACTGAAGTTCTCATTTTTGGACCGGAACTTCAGAAAAGGAAATTGTTTAGCCAATCATCTGACCTGAACAGCATTAAATTAGTCTCTGAGAACAAAGTAAGGAACCTTAGTGTCTTCGACCAGGACTCTCACGTTAAACTGGTTTGTAGGATTTCCTTTTTTCACCTTTGGAATATTGCTAAGATTAGAAGCATCCGTTCCAGGAGTGATGCTGAAAAAGTAGTTCATGCATTTATTACATCAAGACTGGATTACTGTAATTCATTACTCTCAGGAAGTCCACAGAATGTAGTTAAAAGTCTTCAGCTTGTCCAAAATGCTGCAGCAGGAGTTCTGATGAGAATTAAAGAGAGATCATAACTCTCCTGTGTTAGCTTCCCTACACTGGCTGCTTGTTAACTTCAGAATAGATTTTAAGATCCTCCTTCTCACATATAAAGCTCCATCATTCATCAGTGACCTGATAGTTCCATACGTTCCTAACTGAGCACTTTGCTCTCGGACTGCAGGTTTACTGGTGGTTCCCAGAATATCTAAAAATAGGATGGGAGGCAGATCTTTTAGCCATCAGGCTCCTCTCTTTTGGAACCAGCTCCCAGCTTTAGTCCGTGAGGCAGACACCTTTTCTACTTTTAAGACTAGACTTAAAACATTTTTATTTGATAGGACCTAGTTAATATCAATGGAAACTTCAGGGTTAAACATGGGCTAAAAAAGATGTGAAGTCCTTTGCATTTGCAAAATACTGTGTAAAAGGAATAACCAAAGGGGAACAGCCAAAAATGTGATAATTTATTTTGTGTCTTTATGTTTCTGCCCTTCCCCTGAACTTCAACTGTGAGTCTGGGCTGATTCTGTCCACCATCTCTCAGGCTTTTTTGGTGATCCATCAGATCAGAAAAGGTCCACAGAATGACGTATTAAATAGGGTGACCATACGTCCTCTTTTCCCCAGACATGTCCACTTTGCACTCTCTGTCCGGGACGTCCGGCAGGGTTTCCAACATGGAATAAAGTGTCCTGTTTTCATCCAGGAGCAGGGATCGACTTATGGGGTCTATATCTTTCAAGGAAAGGTCCAGTTTCTACCATTATTACAATATTTATGGACTCAGCGTAGCGGAGAGGACTCAGAGTGCTGATCGTTTGTGCGTGCGCTGCGTCCGGCCCACGATACATTCACAAAGTGGCGCAACATAACATTATTATTAACACATGATCATTCGTATCTGTTTAAATCCTCTGGTATTCTGTCTTTTAATCGTTCCTGACGCACTCCACTCATCGTGTGCTGCGGTGATTTCACCTCACTGACGCAGCATCGAAACACACACTACGCTTTGCGGTCAGGAGATCCCCTTGATCTGTTTAGTTCAAAAGTAACTGATGAGGTGAAAAAGTAAGAATCCAGGCAGGAGTTTTTCTGGAGTGTTTAGAGGAGATGCAGGAAGATGAGAGACAGACAGGACAGGAAATAGTTAAATAAAAACAAGAAAACAAAGCAAAGTGCTGAAAAGTAAAATGTAGGTACATTTATCTCCACTACACGTTTTTACCTGTATAAAACAATAAGTTATACACAAGTAATATTTATACATCTGATAAAATTCAGGTCACCTTCAAAACTCAGACAAACCCAGGGCCATTTCAAGGCATTTTGGGGGGCCAAGGCAAAACAGAAGTAAGTAAGTAAGTAAAAGTCTATTTATATAGCGCCTTTCACAGATATAAATCACAAAGCGCTGTACAACATGATAAAGATCAGGGCAAATACCTCTAACCAATAAAAACATCAGAGAAAACAATAGCAGTGACAAAGTAGAAAATAAAATCATGAGTATAAACAAAGTGAAGGTGTGAACCCGAACAAAGCCATCTTTTTGAAACATTTAGGGAGGGAACGCCTGGATGAAAGGGTGAGTTTTTAGATGATTTTTAAAGACCTCTACAGTGTTAGAGAGACGGAGATTTGAAGGTAAACTGTTCCAAAGTCTGGGGACAATAGTCTGAAAGGCACTGTCCCCTTTGGTTTTCAGTCTGGTTCGAGGAACAGCCAGGAGATTTTCAGATGTGGATCTGACGTTACGTGAGGTGGTGTGTGGGGATAAAAGGTCAGTTAGGTAGCTTGGAGCCTGGTTGTTAAGAGCTCTATAGGTCAGGACTAAAACTTTTAACTGTATTCTATATTCTACCGGGAGTCAGTGGAGGGACTGTAAAACTGGAGTGATGTGAGCTCGTCTGTTGGATTTGGTTAGGAGTCTGGCTGCTGCATTTTGGATGGCTTGAAGGTGTGAGAGGGAGGTTTTGCTGAGACCAGTAAAAAGAGCGTTACAGTAGTCTAAGCGTGATGACACAAAGGCATGGATGATTTTTTCCAGATCTGCAGTAGAAACTAGTTTACGGACTTTTGAAATGTTTCTCAGTTGAAAGAAACAAGAGCGGGGGATGGTTTTGACGTGAGTCCAAACTTAAAGCTGGATCAAAAATAACTTCTAGGTTTCTAATGTTGGCCTTGGCTGATGGGCAAAAAGAGGGAATTTCTTGCTCGATTTTTGGCTGAAGTTCCGGGAGTGCAGCGATCAGGGTCTCTGTCTTGTTAGCATTGAGGACAAGAAAGTTGCTGGACAGCCAGTTACTGATCTGGGTCAGGCAGAGTACAAGTGTGGCCAGCCTGTCCAACTGGTGTGGCATAAAGGACATATAGAGCTGAATATCATCAGCGTAGATGTGGTAGGAGATGTCTGTGAATGACTGAATGATGCCAGCTAGAGGAAGAATATAGAATGTGAATAGTAGTGGCCCTAGAACTGAACCTTGTGGGACCCCGCATGTTAGAGAGGCAGTATCTGAGGAGAAGGTTTCTGACTTCACTGTGAATGTCCTGTTAGTGAGATAGGAAGAGAGCCAGTCTAGAGCAGAACCTGAAATCCCAGACAGGGCCTTTAACCTGTTTAGTAGAAAGTTGTGGTCTACAGTGTCAAAAGCTGCACTGAGGTCAAGCAGGACCATGACAGAGCATTTCCCAGCATCAGCAGCCATCAGGAGGTCATTATGCACCCTTACTAGAGCAGTCTCGGTTGAGTGCTGCTTCAGAAAGCCAGATTGGAAGGGGTCAGAGATCTTTGACTTAGAAAACCAGGATCTGAGTTGGGTTTCAACAACCTTCTCAAGTACTTTGCTGATGAA